TTTTCGTGTTCATGAAAATAGTCTGAAACTTCTCCATAATCAGCACTTTTATTCAGATTAGAGAAATTATGTATTTGTTTCCTTGGTAACGCCAATATGAAATACTATACTAGCAAAATTATCTATATATATATGTACACAGTGAAATTTAATTTAGTGTAGGTTGTTTTAGTTTTTCTTCTTTTGTGCACATTTAAGAAACAAACTGAAACTTTTTCAAAATTGTTCAAATTTGTGTATCGTCATGAAACTGTTTCCATAGCAACACAGTTAAAAAAATTACTATAATACCCTTTTATATATGAATATGTTCAAAGTTTTTATGATAACTATAATTTCTACAAATTGTATATTTATTTAATATTTTTGGACTGCAGAATTAGGTTTTGAAACAATTTTTTTTCAAAATTTTGCAAAAGTTAATTTTATAGAAAAAATGAAAACTAAGCATTTTGTATCCAAGGTAACAACAGAATAAGACATAATTCCCCATTATTTTTTCGCGTCGACATTATTAAGATAAAACTATGATATTTATGAATTCATGGTTGACTTTAATTCAGGTGTCCGCAAAAAGTTAAAGTGAGCATTCAAAAATCTACTCGAAAGGGTTTTTTTTTTTACCTTATGCAAACCACCTAAAAAGGGGGGTATGTGTGATTATGATTGAAAATTGATACAAAAATATCAGTTGTTAAATTACATTTTAAAATGCATATATTTAATAAAATCATAAAAGTATTCCTTTCTCTTTTTTACTTTATATGAAAAATTATGTTGAAAATAGCATTTTTCGGCTTAAAATCATGGATATCCAGTAGGGTTAAAAATGGTCGGAGGTTGCTATGGCAACCGATGTGCAAAGCAACCATTTTTTTTCTTCCATTTTTTGTTTCTTTCATTAAGCTGAGTAAGTGTGTGAAGTTTGAAGAAAATCCATGACCATGTGTGCCACCCTCCCTATGGAAGAGTTTAAATAGTTACAGAGAACCATTAACAATATATTAAAGATATTTGTATCACACTTTAAGATTTAAAAGCCTTTTACTGTAAGTAAATGATTGATAGAAATGCATTGATTGTATTGCATCGTCGAGATGTGATACTATTGTCAATGAGACAAATATCCACCATGATAGCCCAATTGACTTGGAGTTCACTATATTGCCTCCAACGATGAGAAAACACCATACCTTATAGTCAGCGATAAAAGGGCCTGACACGAAAAAAATATTAAATTCAAACGAGAAAAAACCAACCACCTGCATTTGTAGCAAAAAACAAATATGGCAGACATGAACCAACAAAATAATCAATGAATTGCCCATTTTCAACACGAAACAATGTTATTTCAATGTTGAAGATGAGGTTGTTTCAATGTTAAGTTTCAATCGATATTCAATCATTTTAAAATCAACGTTGTGAAAACGTTGAAAAATAACGTTGCTTACAGATCACCTTTTCAACGTCATGTCAACTTTCAAAACTAACATTTCTCTGAAATGCTTGCTGAGGTGTGATCATGATGATAAAGGAAATGTTCTGGAATGCCATCGCAGCTCAGTTTTATCAATTTGCAATGATCGTTTTCATCCAGTGACTCAATTTATTTCAAGTTGATCAATATTAATGCCGCTGACTAAACTTTTGACAGTATATCTTGATCTGGTTTGCCATATTTGTTTTTAGATTTAATTTTTAGACTACTCTCCAAATCTGGCCGATTTGGCCGGTTTGAAGTAATTTTTTGTTATAAGCTGGCCCTATGTTGACTTCGAAAGGCTGCAAAGGAGTAGGGGCAATAAGGTCCTTATTTGGCTCAAATATTAGTGCAAATTGAAAATTTAACCATGCATATTCTCAACGTTGCCCAAACTACACTTTGGTACAAGGGTCGTCAGAAAATAAAAACAAATTTCACATATAACGAGTTACCATGGCAACAAACTATGACAAAATGTGTATATTTGGTAAAATTTATTAGTAATTTTCCTGGTTTTATGTCGACCCGCTTTAGGTATATATTAGATTAGAAAAGTATGTGCGCACCCAAGAAACAAGTTTATATTTGGTTAGAATATGTCAATAGTTAAAATAAAGCTTCTATATTTATTTTATTGTTTCTTGACTGCGCACGATGTTTCCACAAAGGAAGTAATGATGAAAACTGCATAAACTTTTTTATTTTACTTTGTTTTCATGAAATTGGTGCATTTAACGACGTAAATGTGACGTCATAACATCAAAAATCTTATGAAATTCATTTGTATTTCTTGAATTTATGCATTTCCATTATGTGCAAATTTATAAAACTTAATTTTCTTGGGCCAAAACCGGGCCTGAATGCCCCTATATACTCCTTTATTTTTAGACCTATTTACATCGGACTTTAGCATCATTTATCTATAAAACATGAACTACATTGTATATTTACATGGCTGCATAGTCCATTTTACCAACTTTGAAGGATTTGATTGTTCCACAGCCATATATTTTGTGTTCAAGGTGTCCGAAAATTTAAAATTTTTGCAATATTTCCGAGACTTTCATTAAACGCAGAATTCTTAGATATTTTCATATTTTGAAATTTCAAACACCAAATAGTTTTGTTTGCTAAAAGAGAATAGATTGAACACTATTAACTAATTTTCAAATCCTGGGGTGGTGTTCTCGAAAGTATCCTAAGATTCGTTCTAAGTCATAGATAAGACCAATTTTAGGATGGACTTAGGATCATCTTAGGACACTCTTAAGTTGTGTCTCGAAGCTATCTCAGACGCATCTTATGTTAGGACGTCCTAAACATATCCTATGTGCGAAATTTTTAATAGTTAAAGTAATTGTTTGATAAAACATTTATTAAAAACGAAACCAATTAATAAAATTGTTTACGAAATTTTAAAATTACATGTATTTAATTAAATGCATGATTTCAAATGTAATTATAAAATAATATCAAAAAGGATTGTGATTTAAACTGGAAAACAATTTGTTTTGAAATGAAAATATTGAATTCGTAGTGTCATCGTATCGTAAAACACGAAGTTCCTAGTTTAAAATCATGCACAAATTCTTTTAACGAGTTAACAACCGATGGTGCGTTTCATTTCATGTTCATCTTCACGTAAAAAATTGAGAAAAAAGCATGCACAAAGTTAGGATGAAGATATTATGATCTTAAGACACCTAATTAGGTGTCCTAAAGTTAGGACGAAAAATGTGATATATCCTAAGTTAAGAGAGCTTCGAGAACACGACTTAGGACAAAGACTTGTCATAAGATGGTCTTAGTACACGTCCTAATCCTAAGATAGCTTCGAGAACACCACCCCTGATAGATAACAGAAACTTGAGAATGGAACAAATCAGGTAGTCCGTCAACTCAATAGTCCAATAGCCGAATAGCTTTACAACTTTTTTAACCAGCAAAGTTACATTCAAGTGCATAGATTTAATATGCATAACAAAATACCATGATTTCATAATAAGACTTCAAAAAATCTTTTTTTTTCATAGAAAAGAAACTGTGTGCCTATGTGTGGCCATCAAAATCCCTTCACTCCTTTTCCCAACTGAAAGAAAGAATAAATATAAAGAGAGAAAAAAACACAGCACTTCAAATATTTAAAGAAGTAATAGTCTTTCTAAATGGCGATTCAAAATTTTTGCATTGAATTCGGGACGACCAATTTTACGATGCCAAATTAATGAATTTATTGTTGATTTCTTCCCGTTCTAAATAAAACCCAAGAGTTGACTTGAGTATAGAAATATGCTGGACTTCTCCCGTACGGCAGTAAAACCCACGCTAAAGAGCCATCTGTATGTAAATGATGTATAAATACGCAGCTAAGTTAACATGACGAGTCTTTTGTGATACATAATAAAAATAGTCAATTCAAGTCTCAAGTATTTAACTATTATTTCATACTCTTTACCAATACCAATAAAAGTTGAAAATCACAAGTATCTTAAATGGGTATTTACCGCGGTATGATGGATAAATCAACGGTATTTGAACTCTGTTGGTTAGTTTTCTATTTGGCAATGGAACCACGTTTCATAAGTTTTAATGATGATTTTGTGGTGCTGTCAGCAAATGATGTTTTTGGCTTCACAATAAATAAACACAAAATTGGGCGAGTTTCAAAAGGTAAAGTGAAAATTGAAGTTGAAACTTATATACCTTCTATCGTCGGCTACTAAATATTTACAAGTGCTAGATGATCAAAAAGCTTGTCTGACTAACGCAGCTATAAAAACTGATTAAGTAATAGTTATTGAACAATCAAGTCAGTATATGTCAGTTATTCTGCACAGTTTAGGTGACCTTTCTTAATTCAAGCGAATTCGTCAGTCCATGGATCCTGTGAAAGTTCTTGGGAGTGTGGGCAAATTCGTATAAATTCATATAAGAAGGGGATAGGATTTAAGATGTTTTTTTTAAAGACGGAAAGGGGGAAAATATTAAGTGAGGAGAGGTGTGCCAAAATTTATTGGACAAAGTAAAACAGAAAATGAATACATTTTCATTATTTAGATCTCTTTTTTCAACTGTATTCCGCAAACAATCTTGAAGACAGATCGCAACAAAACGAAGTCAATCTAAATCTAATTTATTTTTCCTACTAAGCCACATACTTAAAATATGCATATCATTAAATATACAGTTGCGGTTCCTAGATTCTAAAAAGGGGGCACTTGGACAAAACTAGGCGTGGGACTTGTAAAAAGTCTTTTCAAAAACATATGTGTATTAACATAACTGGGGCACGGGCCCGGGGCCAGGATCCCCGCCCCATCCTTAAATCCACCTCTGATCTAGTACCATTTTTTTTTACGAATAGAGTAATAGGGCGCGCGCATGTGTGTTGATCGGCAAAATTTATTAGTAAGTAAAAACGAGATATTTAGAAAATCTTTAATATAATTTATTTTCAAAACTTAACATTAGTATATAATTTATTTTACATGTATATACAGTTCATATTTAACTTCACAATAAACAAATACATGACAAAACACAATTATACTATTATTGATGATATGATATGATAACATATTACTATAAACCCATGTTAAATGCAACAACATACACACAGTTGGAATAGTTTTCAAGACATGTTTAGTTTCGAAATATGTGTTGTCTAAATATTCGAGAACAAAATATCTATGCATTCAGTAGATGACAATATGATTAATACATGTAGATGTACTTGCTGTTTCACTAACTCTATACTTCATATGACAATTAGTTTGCAATGAACTATCAAGTAATACGAAAGACAAGGATATCATGTCAAATTTGGTTGTCCATGAAAAATATCAGTCTATGTTTTGTAATTTGATTTAAAAGCATTTCCGGTGCACGATGCTTGGTCCACACTCATCGTAACCTACCGTCTTCGATATCCACATCTGTTGGAATGAAGATAATGAACCAAGTATGGAACCTCCAATCCACACTGAATACTTTCTTTCTGGTGGTGCGATAACTTTTGTTTTCATAGAACTAGGAACTATGGCGTCAAGTTCCTTCTTCATACGATCTGCAATACCTGAAAAATAAGTAATACAGGTATTGAACATCTTAGACGAGATATCATTGCATGTCAGGTAAAAATATATCATTATTGTAAATCGAGTTGAGTGCTTGTTCTCAACGGATTTTTATATTTTTCGTTCATTGATGTATGTTATGTTTCTTTATTTCACTGATAAAAAAATTATAAGTTTGATTTTCACTAAAAACATAGTTTAAACCTGAAACATGTTTATGTGACTTTTAAAGTCAGGAACTTCGTCAGTGGGTTGTCGTAAGTTACATCTTAATGTTTGTTCTGTGGGGCATTTGTGATTAATGCCAGATCTTCGTCTCTCTAAATTTTATTCACAATACTAGTTCAGTTTCAGGAGGAATTAGAGCTGACATAGTGTGTAATTGTCAACCCTATATATACCTCTAGATATTTGTGTGGTATTTTATGTTGAAGGGTTGCTATCTCGTTGTGTATTCCCTACATCATCTTTTCATAGAATCTTACATACAGTATTTCTTATTCGTGGAATGGAAAGATTGATGACTCCCCGAGACCCACAATTTAAAAATAACTTTTTTTGAACGGAATGCATTTATTTATATAAAAAGGAGATACGAAATGATTGCCAATAAAGAAAACTATTAATGAGTAACCAAAGAACTCGAATCTAAACAACATTACTATCGGTCACCGTAAGGTCTTTGTCAATTAAAAGTAAAAAAAAAAATACGTGTATAGTACTGTAAATTCAGAAATTATTGCGTGCATTTATTATTGCGATTTTGTCATTTTAGACTAAAATGCGATTTAAATTTTTGCGATATTCAGAAAAATCCTGTTTAATTTATATAAAAAATTTCATATTGCGAGTTTAAATTATTGCGATTATTACCCTGTCACATTTTTCGCAATAATAAAAACATCGCAATAATTTCTGAATTTACAGTAAGCTATAAAAGGCTCCTACTTGACAAAACGTAAAACAATTACAACCAACGATCTGATTTATGCTTAAAACAGTAAATCGAAAACAGATATGGTACACATCTACAGGTATCAACGACATCCACGGATTACAGGCATTGTACATTGCACAGACACATAATGAATGTGGCGGGGTTGAACATGTTTGTGGGCGCAACATAAGAACTAACTGTAAGAAAAAGCTCATAATATCGGCACAAAGCACGCAAATTAAAAGTATAAATGACAAAAAACACAAGGTACCGATGTAATAGTACTCACAGTCACTGAAAGCTAGTTCAATGTCAAATTAACAATAAATCATGTAAATAACCCAATATATCATTACCGCATGCGCATTTCATTTGAATAAAAAAAATCATATTTTTCCACCTATGAAAAAATCACATAAAACCTATTTATGCGCTCAAGACATGTGATTCTGGTAGAAACTTTATAAGGAACTCTGGAGACCAAACATTTGTCAAAAATGGGAAGTCAAAAATATCAAAAGAATTGAGAGCTTGATCAAACAACATACCCGTTGAAAAAGTAACTTACCATGAAACATTGTAGACCCTCCTGACTTTAACAAAAATAACTTACCAGGAAACATTGTAGACCTTCCTGACTTTAACAAAGTAACTTACCAGGAAACATTGTAGACCCTCCTGAAAGAACTATATTGTTATACAAATCTCGTCGAATATCCATGTCTGACATCATTATAGAGTTATGGACCATTTCATGGACTCCACAAGATTCCATACCTATGAAATATAATTAATTATGAAAAATTGAAATAAAAGATATTTTTTTAAATATAAAAGGTTAAAATTCACAAATCATTTAGTAGAATAAGATATATTAATTGTATTACAATGTGATCAAGACCAAATGAAGGGAACGTATAAAGTTTTAATTTTACTTTCATTATCATGGTCGTCTTCGTCAGTATTAATCTTACGATTTTCGAATTTTTCTTGTTACAAAAAGAATTTGAATTTCTTACCGATAAATGATGGCTGGAACATTACTTCTGGACACCGGAAACGCTCGTTACCAACGGTAATCACAGCTCCATCCGGTAATTCATAAGATTGTTCTAAATTGGAAGATTTGGCGGAGGTATCAAGTTCTTGCTCGAAATCAAGTGCCGTATAACACATCTTTTCCTTAATGTCTCGGACAATTTCGGTCTCAGCTGTTGTGACAAAGTTATAACCTCTCTCGTGGAGAATACGTTGTAAATAAGCGGTTAGATCTCGTCCTGCGAGATCAAGACGTTTAATTGCATGTGGCAGTGCATATCCTGAAAAAAAAACCATATATATTAAAATGATTTGTTAATCTATCCAGAATGATTTTCATTTCTTATGTAATTTAACTCTATAAATGAGCATTTCTTTGACATGAGCATATATAAATTAAGGAGATGTAGTATGATAGACAATGACACAACTATCCACCACAGACCAAATAACGTTGAAGTTAACATTTGTAGGATAACACATGACCCTCAACAATGAGGAAAAACACATACCGCATAGCAGGCTATACAACTTCAAGGCTCCTTTTATAAAACATATTTAGCTTTAAGACTGCTATATATATTGCATTTCCTAAAACAGTGATAAAGTAGACTGTATTCTTTTGATACAATGCTTTTGCAGTATAATTTTTTATCAATATACAAATGTTAATAAGAAGGATGATAGATTGATTGTTGTTTGATAAACGTTCAGTAGCAAATAGTTCATGTATATCATAGACGATTTATAGGAAGACATTTAAAATAGTTGTGTTTCTGGTATAAATAATTATGTGGGGATAACATAAAATCTTGTCAATACCTTCATAGATGGGTACAACGTGTGATACTCCGTCACCGGCATCTAAAACTATTCCAGTTGTCCTTCCTGAGGCATATAGAGATAAAACTGCCTGAATTTGGACGTAAAAAGCTGGACTGTCGAACGTTTCGAACATAATCTGAAAAAAAGTTTTGTATTAACTGATCTGAGTGACTTTATGATTTTAGTAATCTTTCTGCATACATATAGAATCATTGTGGTTGTACGCGGAATCTCATCGACAGTTTCCAGTAGAAACCTAATTTGGAACTAAAATAATATTTTTTTAATTTCAACGACTGTTTTCGTAAGTTATTTAAGCTGGTATAAACAAATGTGGTTACTAATGAATAATCCAATTTTTATTATAAAAAAAATAATTCAAAAAGAAGGTAAGAGTACTTAAAGATCAACGGGCCTTATTGCAAACTATTTAAACTGGAATTTGTTAAAGAAAGTTCAATGATTTCTCATACCTGAGTCATACGTTCCCTGTTAGCTTTAGGATTAAGAGGTGCCTCTGTCAACATAACAGGGTGTTCCGCTGGAGCCACTCTGAGTTCATTATAAAATGTATGATGCCATATTTTCTCCATATCGTCCCAATTTGTAACTATTCCGTGTTCTATTGGATATTTTAAGGTTAACATTCCACGTTTACTCTGTGCTTCATCTCCAACGTAACTATCTCTAGCTCCCATTCCTACCATAACACCCTGCACATAATGAAATGTATATTTTAGTCCTTATTCTATGAATCGCACATTTCTTTAAATTACAACATAGTGGATATGTAATAATAAAAGATGCCATAACATAAGTACTCCTGAGGTATGCATTTACATGACATGGAATTTTCAAAACTAATAAATTGATCTAATGAAGTTCGTATTTCTTTCAGGGCAAATCATTTTTATTTTCTCTCTGATTTAAAACAAAAAGTATAACTACATATTAATCGGTAAAAACGAATGTTAATCAAAATCCGTATCTATTTTTTTTTTATATTAAAAAGTTGTGTGTGTATTTTTTTTTTGAATACATTTTTATTAAATATCTAAATCTAACCTGATATCTAGGACGACCAGTTATAGCAGGAAAAACTGCTCTAGGTGCATCATCTCCGGCAAAACCGGCTTTAACCATTCCGGATCCGTTGTCAATGACAACTGCTGCAATGTCTTCATCATTCACGTTGAAAGGCATATTTCTTGTATTCTAAAACTGCACAAATAGTAAACATTGGTCATATTATATAGTACATGTGTCATGTATTATTCAAAATAGTTAAACTTACGAAGTAGATAATTTTAAGTTAACTTCTTTTGACTGTAACATGTGTAACGCTAAAATAGTTTAATATAAGGATCAAATAATTGATAAAAATTAATAGGGAAAACAAATATACATTTTAATTTGATTACGAAGCACAATAACGATAAACTTAATAATCACTATTATAGCACTTACTTTATTTTTTCCTTAATTTGTAGCAACACGAATGCGTCGATTTATTTAATGCCAATTTACTGAATAACTGTTCATTTTATACTAAAACTATGCTTACTCTTAGTTCTGACAACAGTTTTTGCTACAATCCATTTATGGGCAAATGACTATTATTGTTGGCCATAAAAGGATATACATTTATCTATATATTCCAAGAAAGATCATGACTATTTTTAAACAGGAGTTATGTCCCATTAGTTTTGATTCACAATTTCATCTTACCTGTAATCTATTTTTAACTCTGATTGGAAAAATCGTATGTTATGTAAACAAAGCTAACTAGTCAGTAAATCATTACTTATTCATATTTGTTACATTCTGTTTTTGGGTAAAAGTTTCCAGACTACGGATATTGAAGATCCTAATTCCATATTTGGAAAATTTCCTTCAGAACCGAGTAACTATAAACATGATAAAAACTAAATCAACGTGAACAGTATACATGAACTGCGAAAAATGCACAAAGGTAATGGAACACAAGTATTAAATTAAGTAATACACATAAAAGAAACTATATGTCAAGATTTGTTTTTATTCGAAAATAACTTTCGTGCATGCGTACGAAGTGCTTTTTCTAGATTCTTCTTCTTCTTCCAGGTAAGGAACCTGATTCAAAACTGAATGTTATTGGTTCCGCGCTAGCTGATAACTTCTCTCCGAACGACTCGCCCAAAAATGGATAGACTAAAAAAAAAGGCAGGACCGAATAGAGTGAAAAATAAAAAGGCAGGACAGAGATTACAACTAAAAAAAATGCTAGACGCCATGTAATTACATTTGTAACCATCGAGCTGACCTCCGAAGACTTCCGACGGTCATATAACCCATATAATTCATTAGAGTTGTTTCTTTGCTTATTTTGACCAAACTGAACCAAACTGGCTGCTAAAAGCGAATTATATCACTATTTCACTTTTATTAATGATTGAACAAAAAAATCGTATTTTGTTTATTTCTATATCTCGTAGCTAATGCCCCTTTAATGTTCGTAAAATGTCTTTTGGGGTTATATATATATTTTTTGACCAAAAATTATGCCTGAAATGGCCATTTAGTTTCGACATGTTTAACTTATGTATATATTTTGAAACTTCTTAAACATATTTAAGTAAAATACGCACCGGAAGTTCAAATGAATACGACGCAATAGATTATTCTGCGATTTGGGGACATTATGAAAATAAAATAAACACGGAACTTTTTTCAAAGTTGAAATTCCGACATTTAAAATCTTAATTTTTTTATTTAAATCGGAATTAACTTTTTGAAACTTGAAATTGTTCTTAAACCCAAAATTTTTACTTTTTAAAATCTTGAAATGCAAAAACTCCAAATTTCTACTTTTAAAAACACAAAAGGTTCCACAGGTTGAACTTTGAATTGTTATCTTTTTAAAACTTTTCTTGAGAAGTTAAAGTATAGAGATGATATTTTTCAGTGAGTTGGGATGCGTTCATCTATTTAATATATACTTATTAATTAAAAGAAAGTGTTTGGAATATCTGTCAATGACAGCATCCCAACGACATGCACACATACACACATAAAAGAAGGCGCATTACATCTCTTTTTTGGCATGTACACTGTAGAGCGCAGTTATCTCATTTTCACTGTTGTTCATTACAAAATAAAATATCGTCATTAAATTTGATATTGCTTAACTTATTAAGTTACATTTTTATACATTCTCAAAATCATAAGCTCCGGACTTGACCCCATACTGATCCGTAGGGGTCACCATGTGACGGCGTTAATACCAATCATAAAATCATAATTTATCCGAGGTGCGATAATACATAAATAATATACAAATATATATAAACAAAAAACAATAGCTATAATAAATTAGTATCTATACTACTAAAATAACGAGGTCCAATTTGTTAGCCGGCATGACGTAAAAACGACGAATAAAGAATTCAACTTTATATATAACTAATATAGGACAATGGTGTTGACTAAAAATTACTCCATTCCAAGCCCTTTTGTTTTCCACATAATTAATATTACCAATAGTGATTCAATAATTAACATGTTCCGGGTCGAATTCGATATCAATACCAACAGTATACAATGTATGTCACCTGTTACCTAGCTGTTACCTAATCTATACCGTATATGTTCCGCCTCTGTCAGGCACACCACCAAACGGTGCATTAGGGATTTGCTATATACACGGGTCATAATCAAACCCGAACTTTGTCATCATACAGGGATTGACAATTCTAAATTCAATCATTGTCACATGTAGTTTCCGGTTGTAGTAAAAAAAACCAGAACGGGTTCAATCAGAAAGATTTTGAAAGCAGAGAAAACTGTGCACCTTATAATCAGCATGACTTTATCAGATGACAATACGAATACTTAAAATCCAGGCTAAAAATAAAACGTAGGTACTTTGATCCAGTCACGGACTCGCGATGTCGTGGGTGTGTTCTAGTAAAAATAAAACATAACATATAAATAAGGATATATTGAGTATACGTCAATGAGACAGCACCCCAAAGACATCTAGGAATTAACTTACAAATTTCAACAATAGACTGATGTCTTTGTATACCATTTGACTCCAGAGTATGGAAATATGGTCATCCGGATTGCACAGATCAGGCGGTAAATTCCATACTACATAAAATGAGAGGCGTCCGTTTGGCTGAGCGGGTGGTATAAATACATAAACAAGAACGAAGAAATCCAAACAAAAAAGGGACGATAAATCTGATGCCTTGAGTAGGGAGAGTTCACACTCTTAGATACGGTAAATAACGATTGCAACAACTCTTTGAGGGCTGGTAGCATTCTGCAAGATAAAATTCTCTTTCAACCATGACCCTTTTTGCTAATATACTCCCCTTCTTTGAGTTCGATCCACTCTTTAGAGACAATATGTTATTCTAAGCTCATCAAAGATACTATGTTTATAAATTTGTACATCAAAAACGCGTATCGTCAACATCAGACCTATCAGTGGCGCTCAAATCAAAACATTTTAAATTTGTTGTCGTCCTGCATACGAACAAAATGTTTAGAACTGGACGTTAAGCAAGCAACGGTCAATTAACTAATCACATATCATATACTAATTCAATGGGGTAACTGTTCTACTGGTTGACATATTATTTCACTGCAGGTTGTTTCTGTTTGTTTTTTTTAAACAAACAAATCTAGAATGGTTTTGTTTTCATTAACATTACAACTGTCAGTCTTGTATTAACGTACACAATTTTGAATTTTATTCGGATATACTCTTTCATTTCCAATATGTTGTTATTATATCAAACACTGCCACTGTATACAGAATCAAATTCATAACAGTGTAGACGAGACCATTCGTTGGCGCGCTCAATTCTCCAGTTGAATGGATCAGATCAGGTAACTTTTTACAAGGGACATTTAAACGTACGGGGTCACCAAAGGATTCTCAACGCCTGAAAACAAGTAACTCGAAAAAAAAATACTACAGGCGTTTAACATTGAATATTTTGACATTCTTCACCGACAATCGATAATCAAATTATTTATCATACCGCACGTTCTTTACCTATGTGTTACAATTAATCTGTATAGTATGAGGTTTTTGGTTATTTATTCTACTACCAAGATATTACGAACACATTATTCAATGAATAGATAGATTAAAAAAAAATGTAAGGACAATTCTTAAGTAGATTGTTGTGTTCCAACTGCTGCAGTTAAAGCAGGTTGGGACATTTCCAGAGGTGAATTTAAGTGTGTGTGTGTGTGTGGGGAGGGGATTTATGGAGCTTCATATATGGTTAATGCACAGACATTTTACCTGTCCTACGTTGTTTGGTTTGCCCCCTAACCCTAGCCCCCATCCCCCTTTTTTTAAATTTTTGTATACCTGTGGTGAGACTGATATAATTAAAATTATTGTAAAATTCATAAGCACCATGTATAATTCTAGAAATGCTTTATTGAGTACTTAATAACTTTGTGGTACCACCTCCTCAGCAGAGATTATATACATTCATTTATTATTTTAACAATATTTTCTTTTAATAATGGAGGGGATATACAGTTATATATATATAATGTTTATAATGTGGTCAGATTTTGTTTGTATGTTTATGTATTGTCTTGGTAACAATCCTATAATTTTGGATTTTAAACCAATAAAATTATCTTATCTTATCTTATCTTATCATTTGTGTTTACATTTATGGTACAAAATAAAAATCGACATGTTTTACATTTAATATATTTTTCTATAATTTAATGGTATTAGCTCTGCGCATTTATTGTTATTTCAAGTGAAACTGTATGGTGTGATGATAAAAAGAATGTTTAAAACAAATTCCTTTTAAATTTTGTTGAAAGAAAGTTAAATTTTATGTATCGAAATGTGAAACAAGTGATTATTTAAATCCCCACTTGAAGGCCTCTGACAGACGGAGTGAGCGTAAAATCATTGTTATCGATAGCCGATGACAAACAAATAGAGCATTTGCAATATTCACGTATCAGGATACGTGCACAGATCGACGTATACGTATCGGGAAGATTTGTATAAAATAATGATTTAGCCCCGATCTGAATTAAAACTAAATTAAAATTAAATGCTTTGTAAAATATCTTCATCGGGAACAACTTGACTTAATTTATCCTTTCCTTGTATACGTGTTATACGATACGTCGATACGGATACGCCAGCAAATACGTGAATAATGCAAATGCTCTAATTAAAGGTAAATGATTCGGTATTATTAATAATTACACCTTATGTAAGAATCCTGGGTTTTGATTGGTTGATAGCCAGTGTATTTTTCACCAATTTACTGTTATCAAATGAATATCGTTCATTTTTTAACGCCGCCGGGGTAAATGCAAAAAGGATATGCCTTTTTTACCCTCTCTGCCATGGTATTTGCCAAACAATACTCTTCCCGACTGGACGCTTGTAACGTCACGATCATCAATGCGTTTTTGAACGTTAACATTCGGTGTAATTAAACAGATATAGCATGTTCTTGAGGGGTATTTGCGAAAAATACCAGTCTTGAGAATGAATTTCCCTCGCCTTACGGCTTGCGAAATTTAACATTCTCTCGACTGGTATTTTTCGCAAATACCCCTCCTTAACATGATATATCTGTTCAAAACATAATCATTACAATAAAAAAAATTATGACCTATCAAAACAAGAGAGATGCGACATTTTACTGAATACTACTAAATCTGAAAACCAAACTGTCAACTTAAGTAAAGAACTACTTATCTGCAGCTAATATTTGCGCGACTTGACTCCATTGCACTGATGTTTTTGTCGTAGGGAGTATGTATAAGAGTTACATTTTTGCCTGGTCGTATAAGTTCCACATGATGCAATATTTTTCTAGAAATGAGTGATAAAAATGTCTCTCAAACTTTCAGAAAAAAACCATGATTATGTGTATGTACATTAGTATTCATTGTAACAGATTTTTCATATTTACTAAACTAAACGAAACGAAAGAAATATATAAAAAACAAATTTGAACGGTTATTTTTTATTTTTTCTAGATTGAAATGATACATGAACGTAAAAACCTCTAAGGGCGTTCTATGCAGGTCAACTTTCCACGCGCTGTCCTTATTTGTCCTTTTTTTTCATCTTCCATACAATATATTTTCTGTTTAGTTCTGTCTGCAAGAATACTATTCAGGACACCGAATCGAATATTGTCTATTGAAGACGGAACATTGAAAGAACTCAGCTCAAATGTGATATAATGTGATAAACTTGGTGATGACTATCACTACATTTTCGAAATACTAAGGATTTTTTTATCCCAGGCATAGATTACCTTAGCCGTATTTGGCAGAACTTTTTGGAATTTTGGGCCCTCAATGCTCTTCAACTTTGTACTTGTTTGGCTTATTAACTATTTTGATCTGAGCGTCACTGATGAGTCTTATGTAGACGAAACGCGCGTCTGGCGTATTAAATTATTATCCTGGTACCTTTGATAACTATTTACACCACTGGGTCGATGACACTGCTGGTGGACGTTTCGTCCCCGAGGATATCACCAGCCCAGTAGTCAGCACTTCGGTGTTGACATGAATATCAATTATGTAGTCATTTTATACATTTCCTGTTTACAAAAGTATGAATTTTTCGAAATACTAAGGATTTTCTTATCTCAGGAATAGATTACCTTAGCCGTATTTGGCACAACTTTTTGGAATTTTGGGCCCTCAATGCTCTTCAACTTTGTACTTGTTTGGCTTATTAACTATTTTGATCTGAGCGTCACTGATGAGCCTTATGTAGACGAAACGCGCGTCTGGCGTATTAAATTATTATCCTGGTACCTTTGATAACTATTTAGCATTTTCTGTGCTTGCAAATTTAACCTCTTGTTCAAATACTATAAAATTCCATTCATTATTTACTTCATATATGATTGTTGTTGAAAAAAACGGTGTAAGTTTGTTTTTGATTTGAATATAAGTCCTCTTTGTTACTAAATTTTTACAGCTGTTATCCTAATGCTAGCAAGTTAAAGGTTTGGTTTGCTTGCTTGCTTTGTTTGTAATAATGTTTGCTCAAGCATTGTAATTAAGATTGACATCTGAATACAATATAAAAAGGCGGAGTTAAACTTGTATACATTATATTTAAATTTGATTGGACATTATCAAATAATCAAATTTACCTATATACAGGTTTTACTCCGGCTACATATATTGTTTTCAGATGTCAATCTTAATTACAATGATTGAGCAAACTTTAATACAAACAAAGCAAGCAAGCAAACCAAACCTTTAACTTACTAGCATTAGGATAACAGCTGTAAATGTGTTGATTTATTAGTTTCATTTGTTCAACGAACTTGCTTTGTATACTACAGTGGTATTCAAACTTGGGCATATAAATGAGCAGAAATACTTATAGGCTCCCTGATTTTTTATCATTTTAAAGATAATTTCTGTGTACTGTTGATTATGTAGAAAAGTACCTTCTTGTTTAATTTGTTTATATTGCACGGTTTTGTTCTGTTGAAAGACGCTTCTCGATGACGGAATATGGTCATGGATCCATTGAAAGCTCTATAACAATATTGTGTAAAAGAAGTTATAATTGACAAGTTTGTCTGGAATCTTGCTTATGCACTGCAATACAATTTTTAGTTTAGTGCCTAGATAAGATATCAAAAATGTGTTAACCCCACAAAAGCAAACATTTTCTGTCTTTGATTTTGCATGAAAGATGTTTAGATAAATGATTTTAACTTTAACGAGTTTTATGGTTTTATGAACATAAAAATGTAGATCAAATACGTAGTGCAAATGTTCGGCTCACGTTCGAGAAGCCATACGTATTGGTAGTTTATTCCAGAAGTAATGATCGCTCATTGCAAATTTTCTAAAAGTATGCGTGACGGTTTTGCAAGAACAAATCTAGCACCTAACCTGAAAACCTGAACCCCCAACCCCTCAACCTACTACCCCCGGTTTTTGATTGGTAAATGGTGCTCAAATATTTTGAGTCGTGTTTTTGTTACTGTTGTTTATCTTTTCGTTGTGTTTTCTTCGATTTATGATTTTTTTATTTCCCTCTTTGTATCTTCTTCCCTTTTTTGAGCTCTGTCAAAAGCTAACAGAAATTTGGTTGAACATACTGTTGAAGAAGTATTGTATCTCTTAATGCGTTGTAATGCGAATAAAATATGTCTGGTATATTTCAATGAGACTGTAAGTGTACGATAAAAACAACCAGCTAGCTTGGTGTTGGTATTAAAGCTTGGTGAATGTTAATTTGATCAAATTTGTTTTAGCAATTCTTGTCTTATTTTTTTTTATTGACCCGCCTACGACTGCATGGGACATTTTGTTTTCCAGTCTGCGAGTCCATAAGTCCGTTAGTTTGTCCTGTATCAGGTTAAAGTGGTTAACCATGAATTTGAGGTCACATCAACTTTTAAACGTGGTACACATATTTACTATGGTGTGACCTTTTTCAAATCTATGCCTAATTAGGATTCTGAACCAAATTTCCAGGATCACAGAACATTGAAAAGTGAGTGTGAGCGGGACACGGTGTCCAATGGACCTATATTCTTGTTTAAATCTTTTTATAGTTTTAAAGCAATTCACGTAAATGTATAAATGTTATCAAAGTTATAGTTGAAAAAATAATTATCCAAATGACCTTGATAAAATGCCATAAAGGTATAATTAAGTTATTACACACCAAATGAAACCCCACGGTTTTTCAATACTCAGAAACCATAATATGATAAATCATTTAACACGATACAAGTATGATCCTCGGTAACAACAAAATATAAAAGACAAAAAACAAAACATTGCAAACTCATAGATACACATTCGTTGGGAGATGTTCCAGGATAAAACATTAAAATAACTTCTTAGTACATGTTTGTTTATTATATCTAAAAAACTTAACAACATAAAATGATAATACATAATGAATCATGGCTTAATTTGACAAATCTCAATAAAAAATTATGTTAAACTATATAAATAATATCAAATGACACTGGTTTGTTTATCGAGTTACAAATGTAACGAAAGACACATCTATGGTGGCAGCACCCGTAAAGTTATTATGCATGTCAAGCTGAAAATGTATTTAAAAGCATTTCCTGTGCACAATACTTGGTCCACATTCATCGTATTCCATCTTTGATATCCACATCTGTTGAAACGTGGATAATGAACCAAGTATGGAACCTCCAATCCACACTGAATACTTTCGTTCTGGTGCAGCAATGATTCTTGTTTTCATTGAACTTGGAACAATGGCGTCCATTTCTTTCTTTAAACGATCAGCAATCCCTGGAAACATAGTGGACCCTCCTGACAAGACAACGTTGTTGTATAAATCTTTTCTAATGTCAATGTCAGACATCATGATTGAATTGTGTATCATTTCATGGATTCCACAAGACTCCATTCCTGCAATAGAAAAGTTAACTTTTTAATAATAATAATTAAAAAGAACTGTTACAGATAACTCATTTTGCATGAGTCTCTGTCTGCATGCTTTTAAAATTAAAAATTACACGTTGCCTTCATAACCTACACGTAGAAAATTGACAGCCAGGGATTTCCGATTACCGAAATCCAATTATAATATTTACTCTGCAGTAGGACGGATTCAAATATTGATATCATGATCTTAAATTCGTTCTCCATAGTACTACGCGATAGTATCTTTTAATTTCCTTGTCAAATTTAAAATAAAGGTATATTCTAAGTTTGTTCTCAGGTCATTAAGTCTACGAGACGCAAGTAAAAATCATATTGATCGCAATCATAATATATATGATTTATATCTTTTAAATATAAAGCAATGGCCGGTGTCAAGTTGAGGAACTTACCAGTGAATGATGGTTGAAACATTACTTCTGGACAACGAAAACGTTCATTCCCAATGGTAATAAGGGTTCCATCTGGTAGTTCATACGATTTTTCAATCGCAGTTGATTTAGAAGAAGTATCCAATTCCTGTTCAAAATCAAGTGCGGTATAGCACATTTTCTCTTTAATATCTCTTACAACCTCGCTCTCAGCTGTGGTGACGAAATTATAACCTCTTTCGTGAAGAATACGTTGTAAATATGCTGTTAAATCTCGCCCAGCGAGATCAAGTCGTTTGATGGCATGTGGAAGTGCGTATCCTAAAAAAAAATATGACATTTTTGTTATGTAAAAAAATAAAAGAACATATCATTACTAATAGATAGATTAACATTACAGAAAATCCATAAACTAAATTGTGAACGCAACATTTCGTTGTTTAAAAGAATACTTATATAATTCTTCTCCTTGAAGAAATAATTCTTATGTCATTTGGAAGAAAAACTAAAATGTAACATCCATATGCAAACAATAGATCGTGTGTATATTGAATATTGAAAAGCACTGTTCTTTTACTGATTTTTAAATCATAGGCAATAAGCATTTAAAATAACTGGTATTATCATCTATTACAAATTGTAACATCACAACATATAAACGATAAATACCTCTTATTGTTTGCCCAATATATCCGCGGCAATACATACCTTCATAGATTGGCACTACATGAGACACGCCATCACCAGCATCTAGGACAATTCCAGTTGTTCTTCCAGCGCCGTACAGGGACAAGACAGCCTGGATGTTCACATAGAAAGCCGGGCTATTAAATGTCTCAAACATAATCTAAAAAATATATTAATAGTTGTACAAGAAAGTCTATATCAATTGTAAGCTTTCGTATCCGACTGTTCCTTTTTTAACTTGAAAAATTTATGAAAAACGATGTTACTACTTCTTTTTACGTATTTTAAAATTCAGCAGATGATTTAATCCTAAAATGCATCTATAATTACACAACGATAATTATAATGTTTTACCTGAGTCATACGTTCCCTGTTAGCTTTAGGATTAAGAGGTGCCTCTGTCAACATAACAGGGTGTTCCTCTGGAGCCACTCTGAGTTCATTATAAAATGTATGATGCCATATTTTCTCCATATCGTCCCAATTTGTAACTATTCCATGTTCTATGGGATACTTTAATGTTAACATTCCACGTTTACTCTGTGCTTCATCTCCAACGTAACTGTCTTTATTTCCCATTCCAACCATCACCGACTATAGAAGGAAAAATAAAATAAGTTCATGTGAAATATATACATGTCCTACCATTTTGATAAAAAAATCAGGAAAATTAATGAGACAATTTCATGAACCATTGCAAATATAGACAACCAGAGCTGTATCTCCGTTTTTGTACAATTGTGTTGAAAGTAAAAAAATGTAAATGAATACCAAAGAAAGGGGTACGTCTTGACCTTGCAGTGAGGTGAGAGTTTTCGCTCTAAGTTTATGCCAAGAAGAAGAATAGAAATAACTGAATAGACATGTTCCTCCGATATATATAATTTTGTATTTATAATTATATCCAATTATAATTGCAATATTTTTTTAGGTATTATACCTATCATATATTGTTTACCTTCCAAACGGTTTTTTTTTCACTAATAGTACAGTTTAAATCGGTTTTATAAATTTGACGGTGATATAGACGGGTTTTAAACGAAAAAGTTAATACATGACAATAAAAAAAGCAACAAATAAAACTTAAAAATAATGAAAAGATAAAAACACACCTGATATCTAGGACGACCAGTTATGGCAGGAAATACTGCTCGTGGTGCATCATCTCCGGCAAAACCTGCTTTCACCATTCCTGATCCGTTGTCAATGACAACTGCTGCAATTTCATCATCATATACGTTGAATGGCATTGTGTCGATTATAACGTACCTAGAACACAGAAATATCATGTAAAAAGAATTTATAAGTAAATGAAAATTTCGATATCTTTCATTTTTTTTATTATTTGTGTAAAATTACTATGATACTTTGCTATTGCGTTGTACATTATCATTTACTACTAAATACTAAGCCAAAACAAAGATACATTGATTGATTGATTGATTTGGTATTTAACGCCACTGTCAGCACTTTAGGCTATTTATGACGGTAAGTTTTCATTGGTGTAGGAAGCCGGAGTGCCTTGAGAGAACCACCGACCTTCGATAGGAAACCAAGATACATACAATTCTATACACAAATACACATTAAACAGAAAATTAGATAATCGTTAACATTAATGCCGGATTTTTTTTTCAAAGAAAAAAGTCAAATTAAACGAAAGCTGGTACATTAGATGTTCAATTCAACTAAAAGAAAAAAAGACATGTTGAAAAAATGTATTGCAATTTGGTGTACTTGTACAAACCTTTTCCTTCTTTTTAAGTTATACAAATCTTTAAGTCTTCAGATCTTACATATGTCAATCTATCTTCAGGTTGCTCAATATATACTATATTGCCTGTGTCATCTCTCTGAATTTTGACTATAAGAGTATCCATATATGGAAAACTGCTTTCATTTTAGACATAAAAGGCTATACTTGAACCTTATTTAAATAGTCACATTCTGATTTTAAACTTTATCTTTACTGATTCATTTTTACCTTAAATCTAATTTTAGTTATTACAGGTAAATATACGTATGAATAAATCTACATTTAAAAACGTCTTATCCCCAATATAGTTATTTTCTTTAAGTAATATGGCATTTACATTTTTGTGCTTTTGTCAACATTTGTCAATTTTCCACATATAAGAAATTTGGAAGAACTTTTATTCCGAAAAAAAATAATCAAAAACTGAAAGTGTAATCCTTTTTTATTTAAAAACCTCTTTGAGTTTATGCTCGGAATCCGATATTCTGTAGGAAAACAATGGAAAAGTCATTCCTGTTTACTGTTAGTTTGAAATCATGCAGTTGATAGTTAAACCTCATTAAAAAAAATTTGCGTGCAAAATTACAGTTTTGCCAGTCAATTGATTGTTGTTTGCTCAAAGTCCAGTGGACAATATCTTGCACTTATTCAGGAAGAGAACAAATAAGCATATATCAACTAGGTAGACTGCAAAGTAAGTTGACGCTAGAACAAGAGGGTACATGTATGTTAGATAGGGACAGACATTTTGCCTTGCATCAGACCAAGTACGAACCCTACTAAATGTTATTGCAAGTGTTCTTTGACTTGCAGTGAACGAATGAATAATTGAATCAATCAATCAAGCAAGCAGTCAATCAATCAACGAATGAATGCATGGAATACAACAACAGAAACTTGGGGAAAATTAAAATAATAACCCCAATTCGATCAATCTTAATAAAAATTGTGGCGCGAAGATTCGCAACAGACAAAATTTAAAAGCTGTTAAATTCTAATATACGTCCATTGGAACCTTAGTGGTTGTCGTTTGTTGCTGTATATCTTATTTGTTTTTTCGTTTTTCGTTGAATTTGTTCATAAGTCATGCCGTTAATTTTCTCGTTTTTATTGTTTTACATATGTTATTACGGAACCTTTTAATATACTATGTAGTAGTGGTTTAGCTTATTGCTGAAGGCCGTACGGTGACGTACAGTTCTTAACTATTACGTCATTTGGTCTCTGGTGGAGAATTGTCTCGTTAGCAATCATACCACATCTTCATATTTCTAGGTTTTATATTTATTCCTGTCGTGGACATACATGTGTTTTATTCCAGGCTTTGTTTTATACATGTATACAGTAACCTATGACATTCCTTTGCAGGAAATAGAAGAAACACACTCTATTTCATTGAAGACTTTGCTTTTACATACATGTCAGTGTTTTTGAATGTTTATTGAATAGAATAAAAATTTCTCTGATTATCAATTAAGATAATACGTTAACAATATTTGTGACCTAATTGCATGGTGGTAGGACTTGTGCAATTTGAATGCATTGTCATGAAGAACTTTAAATAAGATTTACGATTGAAACAGTGGAAACAATCGTTTGTATATATTCTCAAAATCACATTTTGATGATAAAGCAAAATATGCCAGAATAATTATAAATTGGTTTATAAGTTTAGAAATACAATATATATCCTCAAATATTATATTACCTGCTGTATCTTCTTCTGTCACAGATTGGTCTATTGTCTGCTGTATCGTCCCCTGTCACAGATTGTTCTATCTGCCGTATCGTCCCTTGTTACAGATGGTTCTATTGTCTGCTGTATCGTCCCCTGTCATAGATTGTTTTATCGTCTGCTGTATCGTCCCTTGTCACAGATTGTTTTATCGTCTGCTGTATCATCCCCTGTCACAGATTGTTCTATCGTCTGCTGTATCGTCCCCTGTCACAGATTGTTCTATTGTCTACTGTATCGTCCCCTGTCACAGATTGTTTTATCGTCTACTGTATCATCCCCTGTCACAGATTGTTCTATCGTCTGCTGTATCGTCCCCTGTCACAGATTGTTCTATTGTCTACTGTATCGTCCCCTGTCACAGATCGTTCTATCGTCTGCTGTATCGTTCCCTGTCACAGATTATTCGGCAGTCTGCTGTATCGTCCCCTGTCACATATTGTTCTATCGTCTGCTGTATAATCCCCTGTCACATATTGTTCTATTGTCTGCGGTAACGTCCACTGTCACAGATTGTTCTATTGTCTGTTGTATCGTCCCCTGTTACAGATTGTTCTATTGTCTGCTGTATCGTCCCCTGTCACATATTGTTCTACTGTTTCTTGTTTCGTCCCTCTGTCGCAGATTGTTTAATTTTTTTTGTAATTAAATTTATAATGATTATTTTGTAACAGAACACTATCACATTGTCACATTGTGTAGTATCTAGATTCATGATAATGATTAATAATTTATATGATAATTGTTATAGCTGAAACTGAAAAGCGACAAAGTGATGGATGGTAAAAATATATGTAACATCCGAATCGTCCAAATGGTAAAATATTGAATAACATTATTTGAGTCTGTTATAATAAACATTTACTTTTGTTACCAAAAACGACAATAACGTTTTCAGGTCTCGTCAAGTAAAGAGAACTTTGAATTACGTTGATAGTCGTATTCATCGACTTTTTTTCTCCTCATATACTTTCAAGTTTCATAAAGTTTGTATGGCGTTTTTTTTTTTTTTTTTAAATTTGAACTTTTTTTTAAAAATTTATCAAGGTTTCAGTTGTTTTGATTAATTTGAACTTTTAAGACAAATTGACTGGTGTTACACTAGCGAATATATAGGTGTATATAGTTCTGAAAAATGCTTTTCTATTCAAGATGTAACCAACGATAAAATACATTACTATTGTATTTGCTTCGATCTGAATATAAAGGAATCTTTAATACGTAAATAATTATTTGGGAAGAACGAATTTCGGCATTACTCAATATAACATCATTATTATCCAAAATCATGCGCAAGGTCTTAGATCTGAATCATATCTCTAGCTTAACTGTGTATGACGGATGAAAACTTTATCTTAGCATCATTTGGAACTCTGTAAACATCGAGAAGTAAATGAATAGATTTCCAGTTTGTGACCAAAGGAAGAAAATGTTTCCTATCCTGTGTGTTCGTCTGATATTGTAAATATTATACCATTATGTATGCACATGCTGTGTTTCAGACAAAGACCAGGCATTGCGGTCGTAAAAGTTTCGAGCACAAAAATCGTACTCAGACTTAGAAATCTACCAATCTAAATATAGGATTATGCGTCGTGTACCCGAGAGGCATGATCTCCAATAGCAACAAATGTTAGCATTATCAAAAGACGCACAATTATAACAGTATATGTAAATATGCAATGACAATACAAATAATAAAAACAAGTATTCTATTTGATATTATGTATGAAATATCATTGCTGTTTGTGCAGCCTTTCGAAAACTAATTTTAATCCTAGTAGTTACGATCTTTTAAAAATTTTAAGCATTGTGTGTTAGTAAAAGTCCTCTGTCATGATTATGTAATATCCTTTACGATAACCAGTTACCGAGAACCAGTAATATAAGCATGTATAAATAATAGTTGAAACTGGTTATTGACAAAAATCTTGTAAAAGCTTGGTAAATAACACAAGCAAAATATGTCTTTGACGTCTTCATTAGAGGTATGAAATGATGGAAGCAGTTTGTTCGGTAACCATGGAAACGCAGTTTTTAGTCATCATCTTTTTAAATTCTTACACCCAGTGTGATAATCATGATTATCTATATAACACTAAAGTCATTTAAAAAGGGCTGTGCAATAAAATGTATATAATCTGAAACCAGAAAAGATTTTCATCTTTGATACCTTGAATGTCTATATAGAGAATCAAATTGAATGTTCCTCTTTTTTACATGTGAATGCATACATTGTTCATAAAAGCTTAATTACGAACAATGATTTATCTTTTCTTCATTGATTCAGATATAATGAATATCATTTGGTGTTGACCCCTGCGTAAAACATTGATATCATACACTGCACTAAAAAGAAACTGAAAATGGGGACGAGTATCTTTGTAGCAAAGTATATTTTATTCTTTCTTGGTACTTGCTATTTTTTTTAAATAAGATAAATTGTGTTGCCATTGATTAAGTCATAAATCTTTCCAATAATTAGTATTGACAAATAAAATTATATAGTGACTAAAAATATTTTTTGTAAAATTACCTTTTCAAAATTTCACGAAAAAACAACATAATAATTCGTTAATACAATAATAAACGGGGTTGTTAGTTTACGAGTTGAATATTTTTCGACATTTCAATTCCTATGAATACACTGACTCTGAATGAAAATAAAATTAATATAAAAGTATAGAACCTAAAACTTGTTCTAGGGGCTCACTCACAGGCACTTGTCTCTGAAAAAAAAATCCTACACAAGGTACTTAACTCGCATTTTTGAAAAATGTCACCCGGTCGCGAAATTCCGTTATATTTCGATTTCTCGGTTGTCAACCCCACTTAAACTTGTTATGCCGAAAATCTGAATTGATCTATCTACACAGTGGTGTATAACACGCCTACCTTTGTCGTAGCAGGCCTCCCCAGGTATGTCACCCGTAATTATTTCGTCTACCAACAGCCAATTCGAAATATAAGCACCCGCCTAACATACGACTAAATCATATACCACTTGAAAGCATACCATCTGTACTATCTTTTTTGCCCGGTCGTCAAATATTCGTACGGTGCAGTTTCTAACAAATGACGATAAAAGGTCAAGGACGGACGATTTCTAATTTTACAAGATGCCAACAATTTTGCATATTCTGGCTTCTGAATAGTAATGTTATGTATGGAAATATGAAAAACTTTTAGAACAGATGTTAAAAGTCACTTCTCAAACGCTGTTTAAAATATTAATGAGGTGCTTTTAATAAATAGCGCCGTTTTTCAGAAATTCCTGTGAAAATCATAAAAATGAGTGAAAACCAAAATATTGTCTGTGAATCAATTGTTATTCACTATACAACAAAATAACACTTTTCATTTTGTACTAAGGAAGTTTTTGACATCATTAAATTATTGCAATCACGCTTCTTGCTAATTAAACAGCCAATAATAACAACTCATACAGTTGTCCAAAATACCGTCAACTGCAAAAAGATAGCATTTTAGCTGTTTTATGTTTAAAGAAAATGTA